GGCAGTTTTTCAAAGCCCTGACCACTTTACAAGGGTCGAAATGAGAGTGACAAGAGAGAGCGGCAGGAATGAGGTAAGAGAAGGCACGAATCCGCTTGATTCTCCAAAAAAAATTGCTTATCTCAACCTCAAATGCGTCTAACAGATTAGATCGCTTCTCAACGTCGTGGTTCCCAAGCAATGGCATTGAATGTTTTCAGCAAAAAAAAGTAGACAAACGCCAAAGTTCTGTGCTTTTCGAGGGCGAGAATGCGTGACTTATGAAGTGCCAATTGGAAGTCGTCGCCGGTGTGGGGTAAAAAGGATCATTTTGACGCCCTACCACAGCAGACATCTCCTTTCATCAACATTCTCTCACAGTCTCCAATTAGTCTTAACTATCTGGAGTAGCCAGTGTCGTTTTTGCATTCCATCAAATCTCACCGTTTACACCCAAATGCTCCAACTCCTCCAAGCACCTGGGATCGGAGGCCTCCCAGGTGAGATTTGCGTCAGGAATGAGGTATTGGCCCCTTTTAGCCTCGGATACGCTAATTGCTCTATCAGTGCCTTCCAATGCCTGCAGCGAAGTGCTTTGCAGTCTCAATCGGTAGCCACATGGATCTTCTGCACTCTCTGGAGTGAGTCCTCCAAGGTCGTCCTGAGGCGGATCCAAATCCCTCCGTACTGCAGTGTCAATGAGAGTGACGTTCACCTCGGGAAGCGAGGATGTTGTATTGGTCTCTAAACATCTACAGAAAGCAGCATTAAGTGTTGAACCTCTTGTGGATCGACGGAATCGCCGTCATGGCGTCAAAATTCATTCTCCTTCCATGCAAATAGAACACATTTCGTGTCGATGGAAACTAGCAATGATAAGTAAAGTGCTCCTAGTTTCAGTTGATGGACGGGACCAGTCCTCATTACCCTATTGGTTGAAATAAACCTTGAATTTGTGTACAATAACTTCATAAAATAGTGAATTTTAACCCATTTTTTTCACAGGCACACAAGTTGATATGAAAAGATCGCCTTTTGTTAGGTGTCTCAAGTCGATTCGTCCCACGGCTCGCTCTCAGTAAAGAGTGAACCAATAAGTCAAACTAAATGGGACAAATGAAGGCGGCTTTTGGCATTCTAATTGTTTCCCCTCTTTCAGAAATAATAACCCAAGTCAGTTTTTATAGACGATTTTAATTTGTAGTTTACATAACCGATAGCATCAGTAACGCCCTTTTCGGTAAGAAGGCAGTTCGTGTAGTCTTTTTAGTGCCTAAAAATACCATCATAGATGCTTCTTCAAAGCAAATTTTGTTTAGAATTCACTACTCAAAAAGGTTAGGAATAAGCTTCATAAAAAAAGCTTTTAAGTTGTACAATTTTGAAGCTTGCATTGCTCTATTAAAGACCTCGCGCCTGTCCTGTGCTTGAAGTGGTCAACTTTGGTGAAGCCGAGTTTGCAAGGAGCGACCAACCTTAGATTACTCGGTTGATGCTTGCAATGAAATAACGAAGTTGTTGCTGTTGTTGTTGCCTTTACAAATGCAATTTAGATTTCATGATCTGATCAACAGTTCATTTTGAGTGAATTCTCCTTTGGGACTGAAAAAAATTGGAGTTCAGCCAAAAGAAAACGCACCATCATCTCGTGTCTAGGCGGTAGTTTAGGCTTTCTAGAGGACATGGAAAAGAGAAGTATTTTTTTTTGTTTAGAATAGCTATTCCATGACACAAGGATGTCAAAAGTCAGGAGGTCCTTTTGTCTGCCCTCACACTTTAACAATGCTGTGAAAGACCAACTTACTGGACATAACTTGTCAGACGTAACGTCACCGAGGGAACAACATCCAGATTCACCACCTTCAATTGTTGCAGGACCTTGCTTATCTGCAACGCCTGCAAACTGCTCACTCGAATGCCATGCAGAGGCAACTCCCAGGTAATCTTGGTGGAGGGTGCAAGGAGGTGAAATACCTCCTGATTCAACGTGAGGCGAGGTTTGCAGTCTATGAGGCACTCAATCGCGGTCGGTTTCAATTCAGCTCCATAGAATAAGCTCATGTCTGCAATCTGCCCCTAAAAACACACAACAAAGAGGATCGTCGATGCACCAATGTGATAGTTTGAAGATTTTAAAAATAGAATTTTTCGGAGCGCACTTCAAGTTGCGCCGCTATCCCTCCTCGATGCTTGGTGGAATTCCCTCCTCAGACTCTCGAAACTTCCTCCGCTGTCAAGGTGGTGGCGCATCTCTTGAAACTGCCACATTCAAATCTATGCCTACTAGGGAACAATGTGGACCCAAGGATGCACAACAAAAGGGTGGACCTCTACATGATGTTGGAATCAATTATCAAGACAAGTTGTCTGCCCACGGCAATAATTTGAGTGTCCAGGTAGCATCAAAATGACAACTCGGGCAGAAAGGAAAAAGATAAATGAGGTTTTGTTCTAGAAATGTGGGATTTACTTTAGTATTTTGATTTTAAAACAAGTATTTGCAAAGATCACTGCTTTGTCTTGGCGAATCAACAACTATTCGTGAACTCGAAGAGGACGCCTTTAATTGCGGAAAGACAAGTGACAAGTGACACTTGATGGTGGTGAAAGATGTTCACGACTGCTTCAGCTTTTCCTTCCCCTTGTGACATGACTGGAGACGGATGTCGTTGAGGAAGGCAAGACGTGCTCTTAAAAATCAAACATTCCGATACTACGGAACGTACCCTGAAATGATGTGAAAACTTCTTTGGATCCGAAGTCGACCACGCAGCTCCAACGATAGCGAGTGATCGTCCATTCGGTGATTCGTCAGCAAACGTCGGAGGAACAGGTGAAATCGGTCCTGATGAAACCTTTTCAAGCTCATCTCTACCGAGAAATATTCCCACCTATGATGGAACAAGAAGCATTAAGTCTACTTGCAAGGAAAGACGCACCTAGTGCTTTTATTTTTGGATCTTGTCAACGCACTGTCTACAAATACTTTTAATTCTCCAACTTGTTAAAAACTTACGTCTTGTTCTTTTCCATCCCAGTGGTAGTTTACTGTCATAAGGCTCCACTCCTCCTCCACAATATGCGAACTTGACGTAAATGTCCACGAGGCCGACGGTTGGTTAGAGAGCTTCTTCAGGTAAACACTTACGGCTGTACCTCTTTTGGTGATTGTAAAAGTGGAGAATTCGCCGTCTAGACGAATGCAAATGTAATGTACCCTACCAGCACTCCTGAGGAGACAACAAACACATTTCTCGAGTCCCAGTTACCTAAAACCCAAATTTTTTGTTCTACAATGCATGTTACGGCGGTCAGTGGGCCCCTTCGAGCCCCCTCAAGCCGCCCTCGCCGCCTCGCACGCCAATGGTGCAGCCTGTCACAGTATTGTGTCTAGTCTCGCCTCCAGGGCAGTCGCAATGCATTGAAAAAGTGCTTCTGCATTACCTACACTTTCGACACAATTCCGGTTTTATGAACCGGAAAAACTACCTTCACGCACACAAAAAACCGCCATTAAAATCACATCAAATTTTTTGATTGGAGAGCAAAAAAAGTCGACTAATTGAGTAAGTTTGATAGTAGATGTAATCTATTATCTACCAACCTTGACACCCTCTCCTAAGGCTAACGCATTTTACATTTATTTTGCAATGTAAATTCCACGCGTTTAGATGCGATGGCAGATAAACTGTGCCAATTCAAAAGGTTGTCTTTCCTTTTTTTCTCGTTTTTATTGGCGCTCACTATCAAAAGTTGCGACTACGAAATTGTCTACCTACCGAAAATGTTTTTACCGTAGAATAGCACTTCAATCAGAGCATCGCCTGGTATGTCGGGTGGCAGATGTGGATGCTGACGGAGCCAGAAGAAGAGGGAGAAGTGAAGAGCATCCACTGATTTGTGCGAATCAGTAGTTGTAAGTAGGTGATCG